TTCAAGGAGGATGGTCAGACACTATGATGATTGCCATTTCTGGCTTCATCCTGATTAGAATGGCAGTCAAGTCTGATGGTGTTAACTCATCAGGTCCAAACAAACCTCAGTATAAATATAGCCTTGTTGTAGCTGAGGAACAGCCTCAGTTCGCTTGAAGCTTATTCAGTTATAGCTTTGCTGGATATCCAAGAACACAAAGTAAAAATAGATTTACAGTGACACCAGGAAAGGAGCTGGGTTTGGGTCAGGGTGCAAGATTCCTCAAGATGAAACCTCAAAGAACGTTTTTAGAAGACATTGTGTTGCTATCAAATATTCTAGTGCAAGACAAGGAAATGAAACATGTTTGAAGGATTGAACAAGCAGGGTAAAATCTAGTACTGGGGACAGCCCCTTTGTACAGCTCTGGGATAGCAAAAGGTCAAAAGCGTTCTTTCATGGAAAGGGACGATTGTGAAGGCAAAGGGCAGGCTGGAACTGTTCAAGATGCTGCACCTTGATGTAGGGGGCTGACATGATCCTCAGGCAGCTGTCAGGAGTGAAACAGGGCTAGGACAGATCATTTGCCACCTTCCTTCCTCAGACCTTTAACACTGGATGCCTAACCCCAAGCTCTATCCGCAGCACCAGCACTAACTTGCAGCAAACCACCCCATGCTTGATTCCAACAACTTCCCAGATGGGAAGCGCTCTTTCTGTCCAGTTATGCAGCACAGTTTGCAGTAGCTGCTTTATCGTTTGCCTACCATAGTCACAAAGCCCACTCAACCTTTTCCCAGCCATATCACAAAGACATGACATGTTCTTGCATGACCAGAAGTGACAATGCCCCAGGCTGTATTTTCGCCTTCAAACACCCACCACAGAACCGCCGCAGACCAATGGCCAGCCTTTGTAGCCTCCAGCAGGTCAGGCATTTCTAGTTATTAAATCAACGTTTAAGAGGTGCATAATGGAGAAGGGGGGAAAGTAATCAAATCATTTGAAATGCTAGTCCTGCCAAGTTGTCCATGCTGTGCTGTACCGGACTACATTAGTTATAACTGGAAGTTGTGACCAGCTGCAGTTGATTAAGCCAAAAGAGACGTGAGACTTCCACTTCTCTGCTCAGCTGTATTTCTTTTGTTGACTCACACCCCTTCTCCACTGGTTTGCTGAGTGGCATTTGATACTGAGGTCCTTCCAGTAACCATATCCCTCAGAGTCAGCATGTACAACAGGCCCTGTCTGGCCACTTCCACCCTGACCCACCTGCTTACATCTGCCCAAGGTGGTACGTTCTCTTACCATATGCAGACACTCTCAAAATGCAGATAGAATTCAAGTATGAAAGTCTGTCCCTGTCTGCTCCCCTGTATTATAAGTTCCTAACTCCTTACAATCCCAATAGGAAGTTGGTGTCTATAAATTCCAATTTACCCAAAGTGAAAAATAAGCATCAGGAATCCCTAGTTCCTTTTGCAAGCGTTGCAGTATGTGTAAGAAGCTGACAAATACCTCTGTTCAGCTTCTGAGGTTACACTGTCACTGAGAGCCCAAGGGCTCTCTATGTAGAACCACCTGAAAAAGCCACTGGTGAACATCTCTGCATCTCAGACCATGACAGGAGTGTGCCAGATGTACATTTTAGAAAGCAGAGCATGTATCAGCCTCCTCATAGAGCCCTGTCAGAACATTTGATTAATGGTGATGTGCTGGAAATCCTAAGCAAAAACCACGGCCCCTCACAACTGCTCAACCCAGATCAAAGCCATGTGGCCACAAATACTGAGCTCCAAATGGAGTTTCTGAGGCTCTTTTGGACTCTGTGTCAAACCAAAAAGATTTCAGGCTGACAGAAGGTCTGGGAGTCAGATTTTTTCATAGTCCCTAAAGTTTAAGAGAGAAAAGCTTCACATCAGCCCCCAGTTATTTGAAAACCCCTAAACCTACAATGAACACTGTACTTCAATTATTTGGGATAGAAGGAAGAACAGGCTTTCTGCTGCTGCTCCACAACCCAAAGGTTAACGGACTAATGCAATAAAACAATAGATTATAATATGTTTCTCAATACAATTAAAATCAGAAAACAAATGATGAGCTGTTTCAGATGAAGCTACTGATGAAAATAAAGCATTCCATATTTTTCCCCATTTATTAAGAACACTGAAGATTTCAGCCATGTAAAAGTGTGATTTCACACGTATGCACTTGCACACACACAAACAAATCTATGTATAGAAATCCATCTAAAGTGACTAGAATCTTGTACTACCAGATTTCACTTACTCATACACAGGAATTATACTGATTTCTACACCAAGAGGATTACTTTTGAAGCAGCTGCATACAGGTATCTAACAGAAGAAAATACTGGCTGAAACACTGTGGTATGCTACAGAAGGAAAAACCCACAGATGTGCTTTGGAGTACAGAAAGCAACAAGCACACCCACCAGCTATCTTCCCTGCCATTCAGAGCTCCTTAAGGAAAAACAAGTGTGAGCTTCAGTTCATTTCTGGGAGAAAAAGAACCAAGAAAGAGGGGTCAGAGATCCTCAGTGTCACACTGCACAGCTTCCAAGTCCTCAGCCTCACAATGAGCCGCAGGCTAGGCAAACCTAAGACCTGCTAATTCCAAGCTGCTTCCTCTCAGTCATGCAGGAGCACATCAGTAGTAAGCCCACTGTCCAAGGGTCTGGGTGGCTGCGTGCTCTGAAAGCACCAGTGCCCCAGAGATCGAGACAGGAGTGGACAGGCAAGGATTTGTTGTGTGACTGTCTCCAAGTGGGAAAGAGAGACCAGCATGAGATACAAGACTAAAATTAACTCCAGCCATAGGGGAGTAAGAAGAGGAAAGAGACTGAATAGGTAAATGTCACACTACTGAGAAATGCTGCTTGTTGCCCATCCCAGCAGAGATGGCCACTTCACTAAGACCAGCAACACAACTGTGTGCAATTGCTCACTTCCAACCAGGCTTCCAACCTTGTTTTGGAAATAAGGCTTAATTACCGTGTGTTAAATCAGTGCTGCTACCTCCCATTGGTCCTTGTGATCCTCTCGTGAGTCCTATTTCACCTCTAAAATGAAGTGATGAGAAGAATATTCCCTACAACATGACATTCCAGTCTGTTTTGCCATTGCGCTTTGAATGCATTTCTCTGCTATCTAACACAGCAAAACCTCATCTGCTGTTACATGGAACAGTGTGACCTGAAAGGACAGGTTTGAGAAGAGGGAAGGAGACCAGCTTTCAGCTGGAATTTATATTTGGGAAGACCTACTCCTGAGGTGAAACAAACACAAGTCAAGCATTCCAAAGGTCTTCATTATGCTGCCCATTCCTTGTCATATCCTTTCCTAACAAGAATCAACCCATATGCGAAAAAAGCAGGTGACCCTGTTTGGAACCTGTTCCAAAGGCTTATTTCCTGTAGTTTACATTATAACTGACCCTCCATAGCTGACATTAATGATTTGTGTGACAGTAAGGCTGAGGGATCAGCTGCAGAGCCATGGAACCTCACACCCATTGTAAAGGAAAACCAGAGGTTGCAATCTAAGTATCAGAACAGGAGAAGAGGATTTACCTTTGTGCTGCAGATGGAGAAGCACACCACAGCCAGAATGAAGTGACTCAGTGAATAGGAACTAAACCAGGAACTGAACACAGATTTCTCACATCTTAGTCCATTCCCTGAACCACCACTGATCATTTCCCAGACAGCCCTGGAAGACTTTTACTACTAAGTTCTTTTGAGGTTGCTGCACTTTGGTCCCATCCCACACAGCCCTGTGTGCTTTTCACTTCCCTTCATCTGAGCTGGCTGTAACTAATGTTCTTTCCATGGCCTCTTTGAAACATTCCAGACAACCATCAAAAGCCACGTGCCTCTTCATCTAGAGACTCAGGTAAAACATTTCACACCCATACATATTCCTGTGCCTCTCCTGCTTTTCAGGTGTAGCTCAAAGTCATCTTAGTAGTTCAAGAACCTTCTTCCCTTACATATGTTGTCTTCTCTGACTTGCCAAGCATCTCTCTGTTTCCTTCATTTCAGCTGGTTCCCTACTTGCTTAGCCAGGCTTACAGTTACACCAAACCTGTCACCAAAGCATACCCCTCCATTCCTCCTTCCTTCCCAAATCTCTTCATCAAAGCAAGTCCCTTTGAGATCCCTTCTGTTTCTCCCACAACTTGTGAAGCTCAAAATGCCTCGTTAGCACTCAATGTCTTTGCTCTGCTTCTGGGGAAGTTTCACAGCTCCAAGCACCTTCTCTGCCAGCAGACTCAGCTGCATTGATTTCCCTCCCTTCCAACTCTCCCAGTGTCCACAAGGGATCCCACTTGAATGAAAGCCAGAACCCCTGCTCAGCGAGCTCCATTAGCCATATGCTGTTAGGCCGGTCCAGTTTGCTCAAAGTGCAGTATTCAGCCACTCACTAAGACTTTGGAGTCACAGTCAGGATTAATAAGGTACATAGGGACATCTCCCTTCTCGCATTTGATTATCACACCTATATTATGTGTGTTTATGCAGCTATTTTCTTGATGTGGACTGAGATATACACAGTCTAATAACACTGCAGTATATTATTTTTCAGTATTTGTTTTCAGGCTGGAAAAATGCCACAAAAAACTGTAAAGAAAATTGAGAACAGATCCTTTCAGCTGGTGTAAATCTAGATACCTCCATTGATTTGGGTGGATTTATGCCAATTTCAACAAAGTGAAGATTCAACCCTTAAAATAAAGTCATATGTTTTGCACATCTTCCATATTCTTAATAAATTATTTAACATGATTTTCATTTCATAAAAACATGAGCAATGAGATATTTTTGTATAGAAGGCAATTAATGGAGATCTTACTAGTCCTGGACAAGTTTCTTTGCATTTGACACTGGCGCAATACTTGGAAATTAGAGTGAAAGAATGGTATGCGCCTATTCAAGTACCCCCCCCCAACCTGAGTTTTGCCCCAAAAAATGAGTAGATGAGGTCACACGTCAAGAATTTCACACTATCTTTATTAAATTACTATGTGCTGCTTTGCTTTTTAAATGCAAGTGACAAAGATCACTGTAATCTACATTTAATGAAACATCATATCTCCTGTGTATTCTCGTGGATCCTATCTTTCCTTATCATTCTTAAGAGAATATTATGCTTTTGAAATGACAGAGGCTCCTTTCCTTGAAGGAACTCTTGCTGTCTGTCAGTGATCTTCTTGTTATGTGCTTTGAGAGTGCACTGCATTTGTAATCACAGTCAAACTACCAGGGACTTTTTGAACCACAAAATAGCTGCATCTAGGAGCAACATTTAGTCAATGCAATGCACTTCGCACCCCTGTCTGTGTAAGTGTCACACTGCTGGGGTTGGCGTTTTGCTGGAGATCCTCTTGGAGAACAGTAAGAAACAAATTAATAAAGTGAATGATTTCTTTAAAAATGAATGGGAGGGGGGAATTACTGAAAGAATAAACTTTGTAAGAACTTAACGAAAACTGGTGGGTTTTGCTGCTGAACCACCCCAGGCAGCAGTCCTAAGTAATGCGAGTATATTAACCGCATGCAGGTATCCCAAATACTGATCACAGGATCCCTATGCAAGCCAGGCTTTTGCACAGGTCCTCTTCTGAGCAGGTGCAGCACTAAGGTGTGCTGAAGCCTTCCCCATTAGTAGGAAGAGTCTCCTGTTTCAAGAGCTCTGAATCTTCTGATTTAGAATCCTGATTCTGATTTCAGAATGTCCCAAATTAGAACTGCTCACATAACTCTTACATACACCAGCACTGCTCCTTTTGCAAATACAGTAATTGTAGTTGGCTGCTTTGAAGAAATACACTGATATTTCTTCAAAGTTTTGGAAACAGGAACAGATGCTGCTTCAAATTCCTGAATGTACTTTGAATGTCAGAATATAACCATCCCCAGTGAAACTGCTGAATTGGGGTCTAGTACTTTGACAAGTGTTATTTAGCACTTTTGGTCAGAAAAAATGAGGTTTGCAGCCCTATCCTGAGAGGGAGTCAGGCTCTAAGAGGAGTGGCAGACTGCACTTCATTTGTCAGAGCAACCTCCCAGTATCTAGTGAACGTTACCATTTTGCGTCTGTGGAATGAAACATGTTTGGTGGTATCATTCATTTCATTTCTGTCTCAGCTCAGAAAAGCACCAGATGTCATCTAGAGCCTTTTTGGAACTTTCTCAACTCTTTCCTCCTTTTTAAGTTTTCACTGGTCTCCCCTGTACAAGTTTGAGTCCCTCTTTTCTTCTCCATTCCTTTATAGTGCTCAGTCTCCAGGAGGGAGCTATGCCTTAGTCACGGCTGTGTGGACATAAAGCCCCAAATCTGGGGTTCCACCCTACCTGTGTTTGACAGCAGCCTGAAAGCACAAAAGTTTCTGTTAAAGTCAACATTACAGCAAACATCTACATGTCATGATGTTTATTCAGGTGAAGATCTTCAACACCTGGCTGCCCACATCTTTTAGTGCCCAACTCAGCACTATCATCTGGCCAATGAAATAAAGGTCCTGATTTGTTTTGAAGGGTACAAAAGGAGGAGAGCTTTCAGCCAGCGCTGCTCACTCCAGCCTTCAATGTGCCCTGAAAACGGTGAGACTAACTTTAAATCATCACTGTATTTGTTTGGAGCTCTTTATCTGCTTTCTTCCTTTTACAATGCTTACTACTAACAGTCATCTTCCTCCAAGTTTCCTGCACTTCACCACGTATCAATGGAAACCAAATGCCTTCCCCCTTTTTTTGAATAAAGGGGGCACCCAAACCAAAACAACACTGCACTTGACTCCACGAGCTAAGGCTTCATGGAACATATCAAACAGCAGATTCTGCAGCCCTTTTTATCATTAGCCAAATACAACCAGCCTAAAAAGTGACCTTAGCAATCATATCAAAACAACAGGAGGTCTTCCTTTCTACACATAAACAAAGAGGGACTAAGGACCATTGAAATAAAATCCCTCATCTCAGTAAAGAATCACTGACCTTGTTCACTGCTCCTGGGAGGAGAGAATACAGCCAGAACAAAGTGCCCAGTTATGTCAGCTCTGGTATTTGCCAAGCACTGGGGATCAGTGAGGCACAGATCAGAGTGGCTCAACATGAATTTCGCTCTATGCCATTATAATATATATAATATATACATAAAAAATTATATATAATATATTTGAGGAGCAGCAAGTACCAAGAATATAAAAACAAAAACATACTCTAAGACCGGAATTTCTGTACAGGTGGAAGTCAAACTTATGATGCCTACACTATTCTCTCCATAATGCTCCCTAAGGCTCTAAACCAGTAAATACATGTACTTCCTCAGACCTGCCATTTGGTCCTGAGTTCTCTCAGTGATCACCTTCTTGACCAGTGATCTAGTCAATGCCAGGAAGAAAACAGCAGCAACCACCCCTGACTATTTCCTACGCTGTAGGCCTGTTTGTACTGGAAGGCCCGTGTAGGTGCTGCCAGCAGCTTTCAGTATTGGGTCCCTCTAGGCCAATGCCTACAGAGACAGAAAAGGATTAGCCCCCGGGCTGGCTGAACAGGAGAGTTCTTCCATTCACTGCAACAAGCCACAGGCAAACAATCTGTGCTGCTCCATTTAGCAAGGGACTCTTCGCCTAGAGTACATTGTAGTGCTCCCATCTTATGGCCCCGTATGATGGGACCAAATTGGAACAGCAACCTTTACTTCTCTTTTCCTAGGAGTACCAGATACTACAAAGACCTTTGTGCTTATACCTGACCCTTCGGAAAGGATCCAGTGCATGCCTTTGACAAGCAAAAGTATTCATTATAATGCAAAGCCTGCATAGAGATTCTCAACCTGAAATAATGTCAATATTTTCAGTCTATACAAAGCCTGTAACATTTCAACATTCACACCAGTCTCTCCACCCACAAGGCTCCCGCGGCCATTTTCCCAAGGTAGGGTTGGGGGTTTTTTGCCTTTTCTTGGTAACTACATCTTGTCAGAATATGATATGAAATGAAATATTGGTGTCTTCCATTTGCAAGCTGATTATAGCTAATGGACTCATCATAATAGCAGGATTTTTTTTTTCTTCTTCTTCCTTACTTCATATTACCCAATCATGGAATGTAGCAGCACAAAATACAGTCTTTATTCTTTATTTCATTCAATATAGTAAGTACTCCAAGTAGCCCTTACTGATGATCTGATTTCTCACAAAGGACTATTTGCAAGGTGAAAGATAAATATTCTGTGAAATATTTTACTTGTCATCAGTTTTGTGTTCTTATATCTCAGACTGAGACATCCTCTGACAGATAAGTTTAGTCATCAGAGGGAAGACTAGCAGTGCCTTTCTCAAAGGCTTAGACCACACTGCTCCCGTGTGGTTTCTGTGGAAAATGGAGAATAGGCTGAAATAACACTGTTCTACAGAGAAACTCCTGGTCCCCTGCTTGTATAAATCGGGAACTTTATATGTTTCTTGGATGGCACTATGGACATTCTTGACACTTAACAAAAATGACACTGGCAAATTTCAAAGAGAGACTTTTTTTAACCCACTGTAATATCAGTGCCAGTACAAAGTTCCCTTAACTAGTGAGGCATTTGGCTGTCCAGTGCTTGGCAGTTAGCACATGGCTGTTTCACACCAGAAGTAAGAAGGAATTCCACACGCACTGAGATGCTCTCCTCAGACACTGAAACCAGAGGGCTGGTCTGCTTCACACAGGGGATAAAGATCTGCATTATACCTGCTGCAGTGAGGCAGGACCACCTTCCAAGAGAAACACTGCACATCAGCACCTAGAGCAGCGTGTGTCAAGCAGTGTTTGCTGTTTGGTTGCTGTTCTCACACATCACAGGCAGCGGCACAATTCCTGCAAGGATTCAATCCCAAATGCTGCACACACTTTTAGTAAGAGGGCAAATATTTCCCTCCTGAGAGAGAAATCAAAAGCTACTGATGAGCAAATACCCCCCCCCCAGCAGAAAGCATTTCCAGAATTAGGTCCTTAATTTGCGAAGTATTTAAACCACAACACACATTTACACCAACCGAGGTGACACATATGGGTATTATGGAATAAGAACCACTAATGGCAACTACAATAGAAAAATGACTGGAAAAATAATTATACGCTGGATAGATTTGTTCTTTGAATGATTTAAGACCAATAGCGTTGCCTGTTACTATAAAACATTTAACTCATTTGAGTTTCACACAGTTAATTTTACATTAATTCAGTGGATTCTTTTCCCAATAATCTAAATTGTTCTCACATACTTAAACTGTATCTGCAAACAGATGGTGAAAATAGCTGTTATTTTGCTCAGAGTATTTAACCTATTCCACCAGAAAAGCCTGTCTTAAAGTCAAACTCAAAAGCTATTTGCCGTTACCTGGGGAACATGCAGACGTATCTGCCCTTAACTGGGGCAAAGCAGACAGGAAGAGTGGGGCAAGGAGAGTGAAAGAAACCTAAAAGAGAAATAATTAGAATCATAGAATAGTTAGGGTTGGAAAGGACCTTAAGATCATCAAGTTCCAACCCCCCTGCCATGGGCAGGGACACCTCACTCTAAACCATATCATCCAAGGCCTTTTCCAACCTGGCCTTGAACACTGCCAGGGATGGAGCATTCACAACCTCCTTGGGCAACCCATTCCAGTGCCTCACCACCCTAACAGGAAAGAATTTCCTCCTTATATCCAACCTAATTCCATATGGAAACAAGCTTTAAAGGAGAAACCTCAGACAAAACCCCAAAAGCTAACTCTGCTCAACTTCCCCCCCTTCCCCTTTCTATGGAAAACCAGTGGACTGACAGCTGATAGAAAAGGAGCAAACGAGTTCAGCACACAGAAAGCGAAAAGGAACAGAAATTCCTCTTGGATTGTGGAAGCAATAACTATCCCAGAGCCTGCCACTGTATCATCTCAGATTGCCTGCAGGCCTCATTTCAATTAAAAAAGACATTTATGAATCAGACAAATGTGCTATCTTAGAACTGAATCAGAGTATCTGTCAACAGACTGCAGAGTTTACTTTTAACACGTACCAGGTCTTAACCACACACACACAGAGGACAGAGCATAATAAACACAGACTGAGAAGCTGAAATGGTTCATAGGCCCTCAAAAGGGATGAATGGCTCTGAAGGAGATGTTATGGTGCATCAAGCAAATCCTCCTTAGTTCACATAATTATTGACCCGAGACATCACAATTATTCCTTCAGAGCCACTAAGGGTCAAATGTGTTAATCCCATTGCCACTACAGATTATTTGTTATACAGTTTAGTGAGTGGGATAAGGAGGATGCTATATGGGAACCACACACACTCATCATTTGGAGAGTGCCTCTCTTCCTTTGCCAAATTTTGGTCTTGTTACCCAAGCAGTTTCTTACACTAGTAGTAAGACACCGTATGGGGTGGAGTAAGGAGCCAGAGCAGCAGGGAGAAGTATGAAACCACCAGCAGGCAATATGTCCCATTGGGATAACACAGCTGCTCTCCTCCACTGTTTCTGCTGTGCACTGGCACAGAGCTGGAGAAGAGTCATTTTCTTTCTAAGTGCAATCTGCTCACAAAGCACATAGGATTCCCTCTGGTACAAGGAATCGCTGTCACCAAACTTTCCACCTGAATGCAGGGAAGTAGTATTTGTATCCTTCTACATCTGCAAAGGGCAGTGGCAAGCAGAGGTTTAAGCAGAGATATACCTGCCAGTGGTACCAGCTAAAGGAAGACATCTCCCCTGACATAGTCTGCTATCTTTATTACAACAGTACCAAGTAGCCCAATCCACAAGAGCTGGAGTATAACTGCAAGACATTTCTATGTGTATGTCATAGGATGAACACACAAATCTCTCAGCCGCCTACTCCAAACAGCTTTATGTACATTTATGTACACACTTGCACCCTCTTTTGTGGGCAGCACCTTAAGGGAGCAGCTTGTCCCAGTTCAAAGAGCAAAACCCACAGTGAAGACATCAGGCCTTCATCAGCCTTTCTCTGATTAAAAACTGCTGACGTGTAACAGCTGTGACACAGAGCAACAGGAACTGGCATTTCTGAAGTTACTCCTTTCTACGCTACCCTAAAAATTGACAGTTAATTCAAACTTATTTAATCTCAACGGTGGAATTCTTTGCCTTTTCTTTAAAAAAAAAATAAATCAAGGATAGGCACCATAGGAATTGCTGGGAATGCCTAAAAATAGTTTAGAACTATTCACCCATGAAAACAATCTGCTGAAAAGCTAAGCTGAAACTAAGTACCTTCAGGCTACACTGGGCTGGTGACTTCTGACTGAACTTCCCATGATATTCTTCCTGAAAACAGTGGCACAGAGCACATTATGAAGCAGGACACCTCAGTGGAGGTAAACACGAGCTGTGCCTAACCCCACAACCCACCAGCTGTGGAAGGACTCTGCCATTGGGTACAACATGCAAAATACTTGAGGTGCTACAGGATCCTTAAACACTTGACCATAAGCACCTCAAAACAGCACATAACTCAACCCATCATGGCTGCAGTCTTCTGCATCACTTCTGTGGCACACAAGTACACTTTTAAACATGGAATAAGCAAAGATTTTATATATATATATATATAATAGGACACAACACAAGGATGAATATAAACCATTTAACTGCACTATCTCTCACTATGGAAGACTACCCTGTGGATCCTGCTTCCTCTGCTACTTGTGAGCTATATAACTGCACATCCCATGACAATGCTATTTCTGTTGCCTCTGCTCACACTGTACATTACTTTGTCCTGCAGGATATACACATAGCTGCAAATATATTATTAATATGATAACATAGGGCCTCATTTTCTTCCCATTTTTTAATACCAAATTGGTAGCATCTGCACTGCGGCTTCTGTTAAACTGCTTTTCAGTAGCAGAAAACTTCCAGGGAGGCAGGAGAAGGAAAGAAAGCCTCTTCATTTGGGGCTTAAATTGGCCTCCAAAATACCATCAAAATCTTGCTTAAAAGATCCATTTTTGCAAAGTGTGGGAAAACTCTTCAGTGATGTTTGGGTTATTCACTCGGGGGGAAGAAAGCGGATTTGGGCTG